GGGCCAGTGAATAAGATATTGAATTTGGCCTTGCTGAACGGCGCAATTAGGCACATCGGTATCAAGAAGTAGGCCAAGCCTCGTGTATTCGTGGCAGGGATCTCGTGTCTCAATACCCCCGAGACCCCGTCCGCTCCGCTGCCCGGCGCCGAGCCCGTGATCAATCCCGGCTTATACAGCAGCACGGTGCCTGTGTATGAAATTTCAATGTGGGAGCCGTTTGTGACCGCTTCGAGAAGTCTCAACAAGGAGATCTCATGCGGCGCAAGGCCAGGGTTGGTAGGCGAATCGGGGCGGATCTGATCAATGCGTATGGGGCGACCGAGCAGCGTAGACAGGACTAGACGGGAAGGGAGGGACTTGTGGGAGGAGAAGCGGAGGGGGGGTTGCGAGGTCGACATTGTTGTATGAAGAGGGAGAGTAGATCAGGGATCAGCTCATGTTCTGGGAATGCCACTGTTTGTGCCTGCGCTTGAGAACAGACATTGCGCATCTGAAAAGTCGAACATGGGTGAACATGTTGCTTCGCTTCTCCGCACACAAAATTTTACTCCGCATCGGAATCAGTTGAAATTCGCACGCCGCTTTTTGCCTCCGTGCAGCTCTGTGGCGGGTGATCTGGGTGACGCATCGACTGACTTGACATTGATCACCTTTCACTTGTCGGTTTCCGGAGTTTGTACCAGTATATCAGCGGACCGCCACCTTGTGCTTTTTACATTTGTAAGTCAGGAACCTAGCCGCGCCCATGAAGGCCTTCGCCAATCTGCGCAAATACATTTCAGTTAGCTATACACAAGTTGCACCCTTCACCAATGCTACGAGATTGTGCAGACATCCGTTCCCCTCTACTCTGACACGAGTCCCCTCCAGAAGGCAATCCACCATGGCTGCCGCATTGAATCTGCCCAAATGGTATCAGGAATCTTCAGTCGCTCCCTATGTTGTACAAGCTTTCCCTAACTCTTTTCAAGGCTTAAAGACAATTCCCACCTGCTCAAGCCGCCCATCAACAACTACTGTGTCTATGCCCCATCGTCCTCTACCGGTGGCTTGACGGTCATGGTTGTGGGTGGCCCCAACGCTCGAACAGACTACCACATCAACACCACGCCCGAGTTCTTCTACCAGCATAAAGGCTCCATGCTGCTGAAGACCATGGACACCTCCACCACGCCGCACACGCCGGTCGATATCCCCATCCACGAGAACTCAATGTTCCTGCTTCCTCCCAACACTCCCCATAACCCCGTCCGATTTGCGGACACCGTGGGCATTGTACTGGAACAGCCTCGGCCGGAGGACTCTGTTGATACGCTGAGGTGGTACTGCAAGAATTGCCATAACATCGTCCACGAGGCAAGCTTTCACCTCACAGACCTCGGCACGCAGATCAAGGAAGGCGTGTTGGCATTTGAAGACAATATGGATGCCCGGACATGTAAGAATTGTGGCACGGTCGCAACATCAAAACCAGCACCAGGTGAGATTCAACAGCCTCCGAGATTCCCAGAGGAATGAGTGAACGCACATGAACCGTCACCTGATTTCAGCCATCAATGTCTTTTGCCTTTCTTCTGCTACATCTGCTGGACATTGTGCTTGTATGTTACTCTTCTCTGCCATAATTTCTCGGAGAACATTTTCTGCAACTTTGAGCGCTGCTGGAGGCAGTCCTGCCAATTTCGCAACCTTCAATGCGTGAGAGTGTCTGTTGATGCCCTTCTTCAACCGGTGCAGAAACACAAATGAGCCGCTTTCGTCCTCTATCACATCAGTGCAGTAACAGCCTAGTTTTGTCCAACTCCGTGTCATATCCGCCAGTGAATGGAAATGGGTCGCGAAGAGTGTCCGGCATTTGTTGACGTGATAAAGGTGATACAAGCTCGCATACCCAATGGCTGTGCCGTCTTCAGGAGTCGTGCCTCGTCCTACTTCGTCCATGATCACAAAAGACTTTCGAGTCGCATGCTTCAAAATGGCTGCGGTCTCCAGCATCTCCACCATGAAGGTAGACTGGTCTCGAAACAAGTCATCCGCAGCCCCGATCCGACTGAAAATCTGGTCCACAAGCCCAATCTCTGCGTGCGCGGCTGGTACGTAGGAGCCGGCCTGGGCAAGTATTGTAAGTAGAGCATTTTGCCGGAGAAATGTACTCTTGCCCCCCATGTTTGGTCCTGTCACCAGCCATATTCGCTCATTGTGGTCAAGGACGAGATTGTTGCTGACAAAAGATCTGCCTTGTGCTTCTAATCCTTCCTTGACTGTAGGATGCCGCCCCCCGATGATTTTATGATCAGTACCGTTGTTGAGGATGGGTCGAACCCATGATTGCTCCGTAGCAAGGACAGCAAAGGCGCTTGCGACATCTAGTTCGTCCATGACGGCCGCATTACGCCGCAATGTCACGAGGTTCTTGATGACAAACTCCCTTAGTGTTGTGAAGATTCGTCTTTCTTCGTCTCGGATATGTAGGACCGCTTGATCGATTCGACGGCCCAGCCGAGTCCAGTCACTCAGATAGAAGGAACGAGTGCTCTTCGAAGATGATACCATTTTGGCATGGAGCGATTCCAGTTTCTCTCGGTTGAAGCCTGTAGCGCTGCGGATATGGCAAATGTGGCCTAGGCCGGGTGTGGACTTGAGTATCAAAGTCGGCGCAGATAGTTCCTCTCGCAGTCTGTTCGCCAGGCTGACTTTCTCAGTCTGCAGTGAATCCAGGTCTTCATGGAGCCGCAGCAGCGCCTCACTAGCATTGCGACGCATTATCCACGGCTCTTCTAGTTCGATCTCGTCTTTCTTCTGGTCTTCCGACTTGCTCCGCGTCCTGACAGCTTTAGGCAACAACCCTAATTCATCTGGAGCACTTTGCAATACGACATCATGTGCCATGGCTGCCACACTTGCCGCTTCATCTTCTTCAAGCCGATGCTTCTGCATGAGACCTTGTTCGTCAATGGCAGATGTAATCAGAGCCTGGAGCTCAGCTGGACCCTGTAGATCGAAACATCGTAGAAGCTTTTGGAGAGGGTGTACCACATCTGTCTGATTAAATCCATGGGTCTCCGCAGCGTTGATGTCTTTATCCAATGACTGGAGAACATCATTCGTTGCGATAGTCTCTGCGATGGCGCTCGCTAGTGACAGCATGTCATCGGCGTCTCCTTTATTCAGAGCAAATTTCTGAACGATACGTTGGACATCGAACGTTCGTCGAAGCCGGAAGATCAAAGACTCTGTGAATGCCTCGTGTTCAACGAATACTGACACCAACTCAAGTCGGTCATTGATTTCAGTCAGAGAAGCTGATGGGGATGTGAGACGGTCTCGGAGAAGACGAGCACCACTTTTGGTTGAGGTCCTCTTGACAGCATGAAACAAACTGCCCTTTCCAAGGCCGTCCCGTGCGGTTTCCAGAATTTCCAACCCTCTGAGACTATTACGATCAATGCTCAGAGTAGACTGGAGTTCCCTTTGACGCGGCGGTTGCAGACGAAGTTGTAACCCCGGCAGCCGATGGCAGACATAGTCTAGAAGTCGATGACCAGCAAGCTTTTCTGCTGTGCTAAAAACCTCGTCTGCATTTTCAGCCACAGGAGACTCGAGCATTTCGTTCCATTCTGCCATGGATACAAAATAACTCTCGGGCTCGTGCGATGTGAGAAGTCGATGATCATGACCGACGATTTTCTGCACCTCGTCGCGAATGTCTTCAGAAACTTTACAAGGCAGAATGATCTCCCGTGGGTCAATTCTAGTCAACGCCGAAGATAATGAGTTGCGGTCAGCGGTCTGTGTACAGAAGTCGCCCGTAGATAAATCCAACCAAGCAAGGCCAATCTTTTGTTCGGGCTCGTGTTCTGAAGCTGTGCAGGTGCTGCCGCCAATGTGATCAATCACGACAGGCTCTGGAGCAACAGAGAGGAGGAAGTTGTATTCGTATGGGTCCAGGAACTTCTCATCAATCAGTGTGCCTGGTGTAATCACTCTTGTCACACGACGGTCGTGTTTGAGACCACCTGATTTGACCTTGCCGGACACCTGGACCAAGAATTCTTCGCATATGGCAACATATTTGTTGAGATCTTGTACAAGCATTTTCAGGAATCTGTCCAACTGGAAAAAGGGAAACCCAGCCATCGCAACTGGACCAAGCTTGGTTTGTTTGTGACCGACTTTGAGACCGAGGAGAGGCCCATATTCATCCGCCTGCTCGAAGTATAATTCGTAGAAATTGCCGACTCTTGTGAGCAGGACGCAATTGTCAAATTTGGCCATGTTGGATTTCGCACCCTTGAGCACTGTCGGATACTGGGGCTCATCGTCGGCAGGCAACTCGGGGAGAGGTTCAGCCTGGATAGTGCCTTGTTGGAGATCTTTCACCTTCCTCCTCGACACCGATTTTGCTCCCCGGCACTGGCCTTCGGCAGGGACCCATTGTTTGACTGTAGGCTTGATTGTCTCTCGATACCGAGCGTTGGGGATCAGGAGCGCCCGCGGGCGAACGATGCTTTCTAGCAATCGGAGGTCTCGGCCATGGAGTGGTATAATGAGTGGCCGCATCGAATCTATCTGGCGGAGATAAAACAAATATGTCAACGCGCTTGACGCGTAAATGCGGACACGAAATAGGCGCCGCTTTTAAGACTCCATATAAGGATGGAGACGTGTGTCCTCGATACTCTACGAGGTACTCCGTACATATTTGTATTCGCAAACCTGGTCCAGAAGAATGAATTCTGCTTGAATTATTTGCCCTTCCATGTCCACGGTTTTTCACATTGGTGTCCCGATGCCATTTATCAGACAACAGAACAGCTTGCCTAGCACCAGGGACGTAGCCAATCGTCACAATTCATTTCCCTGCTTTGTGGAACAGTTCGTCCTGAACTGCTGTAAGCATTTCAATACAGTTTAGATGGTCTTCCATCATTTCTTAGCCATTGACCTCCTGTGCCAAGCCGCCGAGTATACCATGAGCATACACTTTGGCCGCCGTTCTAGAGAGGGGCTCCTGTTATGGACACATCTTGGAGTTCCTCATAGTAGAGGTATCTCATGATATCCAATCCAAGCAACTCTCTCTCATATTGCATCAGTGGTTGCTGTTCTTGCCATTCGAGTTCTCTCGCCTCGTGATAGAGGTCGGTGGTATGACTGAGTATTTCATTCTCGAATTCTTCACTAAAATAGCCGGCATCTGGATCAGGCCAATATTCCCAATGCGTTCTGTATACGAGGATGGTCAAAGACCCAGGCCGATCTGTTGTGTTATCGAACCAGTCGCAGATACCGCCCTCAATCCCAGGCATGGAGTAGTAGAAAACCTCGATGTCTGGCTTCTGATGGCGGAATGCGTTCTGGATGGACATAAAAGCACTCGGGCGGCGCCGAAATTCAATAACTCCAGCAGAAACAGTTTCAGGACTTGGAAATGCCGGCATTTGGGTTGGAAGAGTATCCCATGCTAGCTCATCGACAGCATACTTTGACCAGGACGTTTGACCGGCGCCCCATGTAGAAATATACTCGGCCTTGTTTCCATCGAGTTCGTCCACAAGACCAGCCGGTGAAGGCGGGTAATGGAATGTCCTCTCAGGGTCATAGCACAAAGTGACATTGAGCTGAGTAAGTCCTTGAAAAAGAGTCTTCGGGTCGAGGTCAAACAGAAACGTGGTGCCTTGTAAGCAAATCGAGAGTCCGGAAACGGGTAGTTGCTCTTGTTCACATAGCCACAGTAGGAGGCATCTCGCATCAAGCGTGATATTGGTCAACACGAGCTTTTCCAGCTTTGGAAGCTTGACAAGGCCCAGATCCAACTTTGCATTTAGTGAATGCATCTCGTTCAGTGTAAGGCCAGGTGGCGGTATGTATGCTTCTTCCAACTGAGTCAGCGTGTAATGAACTCCTGACGATTTGCGGGACCCATCCGAGGAATCGTCCTCATTTTGCTCTGAAGAGCTTTCATCTTCTGTTGCCTCGTATTTGCCCTGCATGAACCATGGGCCTGGGTCGGTGTAAATGGGCTCGAACGACAATTCCCGTAAGGCGGGAAACGAGGACATGCCTCCGAAAGTATCCTCAAGCATCCATGCAAGATGATCGCTCCTGACAGGTACCCAGGGTCCCTTACAATGTTTTAGCCGGATTGCAATGTTCTCGATGGTCGAGGGGGAAACGCGATGGATGGTGAATCCGTGCACTGCAAGTGAGCATCGCGGAACCTTGTCTCGCGCTTCTGTCATGCGAAGCCAATTCTCGTCCCAAAATTCAACAGACAGGCGCTTAATAGAGGCAGAGCATTGGATCAGTTCAAATATTTCTAAGCCAGTTCGCAATATGCGACCATCCTCGTCGTTCTTGTTGGGGGGACCCCGAGGCCCAAATTCATCGTCAACATTCGACCATTTTGGCCGCAGTCCCCATGTGGCGTAACCTGGAAGATCCCATAGGAGTCTCTGGATCTTCTTTCTCATGCACGGATCAAGGCAGGTTGCCTCCAAATCATAGTCATCCGATATGATACATTCGTAGCAGTTGGGAAGGTTTCGAAGGGCGTTCGATATAGGTCCAATTGCTGAGGATCGGAGTAAGTCTCTCCTTTTTGAATACACCCTAATGTATTCCCGATGAAGGGCGACAATCTCAGATTGACTCAACCCTTCGATAAGATTTCGATACCTGAGCCTCCAAACTGGGCCGTCGAGACATTCTTCAGATAATACCAGCGGGTTCCATACAATTCTTCTTACACAATGAGCATAGGTGGAGTTGCAAAGACCCTGCAGTCCGGCCCAGGATTTCTCATAACTGTTCAGATATACCGTGCTGAACAAGAAATCAACGCCTATGGCAGCCCAGTCTCGACACACTAGTCGCATTGTTTTCAGAGCCAAAGGACTCAGCGGTTCAAGAATACGGTGCCATATCTCAGCCGGCAAGGAGGGTGCTCGGGCTGGTTTTGTGATACTCTTTGAATCGTCTGGAAGGCGGGGCGATTTCTCGGGGCCTGGGTTTGATTTTGGAAGAGCAGAAAATGTCAGAAGTGTCTGTCTGAATCTCTTGCGGTCCCTCTTGGGCACAGTTCCGAAAACGCTCGTCATCACTTCATCAGACACAGGGTCAATTTTAAAGAGGGAAAGGGTTGGACTCGGTATGAGCGAAAATGAGAAGCGACATCCTCGAAAACAAAGGGAATGGTGTGGTAGCAGATTTCCCTGGCGCCGCTTGCCAGCGGGGTGTTTGTTTACAGCTCAGCGAGGCACGTTGTAGGGAATATCCCGCTGAATTTGGTGGTTAGTGCCGCCGCTTTTGAAGGGCATCTTCCCACGACGCCTAAATTGGTCGCCTTGCTTTCCCTGTCGTCTCCTAGATTGACTTCTCTTCCCACTCGCCAGATACAACGCAGCTAAATATCCAACCATCACTGAGGACCAGAAACAGTCCCCTGTTACAAATACTCGGTAATGCGGGATTCATCTAGCTCTTCGAAAATTAGGGGCGCCTTTGGCGATACTAACATAAATATAGTGCCTCGAGGACCTAAAGGGACAGTCCCTCTACTGGGTAATAGATCACTCTAGATTTCCTCATCTAGCGCCGAATCTTGACCTAGCCTTGGAACTTCCAAAGTAATAGCAAAGAACCCTGCGAGGCCTGATATCATCGTATAGAGCGGTTCAGTCTCGGCGTCGACTCGGCCACGTCTAACAGGCTTAGGTAAGCCATTTTGTTCCAAAAAATCAAAAAGAAAAATGAAATGTGCTGGTCACTACGAGGGTCGAACTCGCGACCTTGGCGTTTACCAGGTACATAGTACAAACTGATATTAGCACCACCTATTAAACTGTCAATAGAGGCCCTAACTCGGGGCGTGGCCCAACTTACGCTCTAACCAACTGAGCTAAGCGACCTTTCTGATGAATTGTTGGCAACTTGTAGAGCTTTCCAATATATAAACAATATATTTTTAGCCTCTAGTCTCTAATCCTATGACGTCGTCAAGTGCAAATCTACCGCACGGCGTTAATTGTTGCAATGTGCCAAAACTCTTTGACAAGCTTTGGACGGTCTGCAAATCGGCTTTTCACCCACGCATCAAGAAGCCCAAGTGGCTACGACAACGCAAATCTTGAATAAGTTACTTACGCTTGCAACTAACGGGCGGTAAGATTCGTGCTGGTCCACTTAAATTAATTTATTTGCCGATTACAACCTCCCGGTGCACACGGCCTTTAGTTCGAGGAAAATAGTCTGCAGGTTACCTTGGGGAGGTAAAGAGGAAAGGTTTACACCCTACTTTCTATTTTCGGCCATCACCGGTCGCCATTTCACAACCCCAACCATGCCTTGATCCCCTGCGACTCCATATTCCTTGCATGCACGACGCTCTCTTTATCCCCATTGACTGGCGCCCAACTATCCTCGCCACGAGACATCATGTTCACCACCCACGCCCGACTCGCATTGCGATCCGTGTGCTTCGGCGTCCCTGGGTAATTGAACGGCTTTGAGGCCAATACTTCCAACGGGATTCCATTCGCCCATTGGGAACAAGATGCGCTGTGACGCTTCGATATCAGCCTGGGCGAAGTGATATTTCGTTTGCAGGGCTTCCTGATAGATCCTTGAGATGTCCAATCCGTGCAGTTGGCGCCAGGCGCAGTCTTGATTTGTGCCGCGGTGTTCAGGATCTCTGATGTGTTAGAGGCTGTCTCAGTTGCGTTCACGACTTTAGGGAAAGCGTCGACGGGAAGGGCAAGTGGTGTTCTGAGAGAGTATTGAGCCACAGCCGGTAACAAGCCAGGAAAGTGAGGACCGATATTCACTCTGGTTTGTCGGTTTGTTACAGATGGATAACTCGGACACAATGTCCTTTGGAGGAGTGCTGGGGTCGGACGACTTGACATCAAATTCATGGAGTGCGGTCTTGATCCTTTGTGCCACAGTAGCTGACTGGTCCAAATACACCTTGGAGACACGGTTCATCCAGTTGAATCGATCTGGATTACCTTGGTCAGGCCCAAAGCCCCTGACAGCGGCTGCCCAAGTAACTGAGCCGAAGAATGTTTCCGGATGATTTAGGCGGATTACTTAGCTTAAAAAGCCTCCATACGAAGACCCTAGAATGATGACTGGCGTGGATTGTGCAACCCCTTTTGTAGCTTTTTGATATGCTGGATGAACCTGACAGAGTCGAGCATGACATTGTCCAAAGTTAATGTTTCGTATTGTTCGGCCGGATCGCTTGCATTAGATGGAAAGCTCGCACCAAAGGAGCGATGCTCCAAGGAAACAACTAGTGCGCCGACTTCTTTTGCCCACATTGGGATATACTTTCTGCCCGTCCTTATGATAAGCAATGCGGCTATTTTCACCCCTGTTTAGAAGAAGCTTACCAAGCAAGCGAACACAGCATTCTCGGCTCCCTAGTAAAACGATATGGGACCTCCTGGGTCGAAATAATCATCAAGGATCTGGTATTGTTGACCGAATGTTTCTCTGGAATTGGCGGACGGATCAACCTGCTGCTGGAGAAAGGCCGTTGGGTGGGAACAATTAGGCTGGTTGGAGTGCGCTGAAACCGGTTCGAAGCATTGTAAAGTGGTTAGAGTAGCGAAGGTTTTGAGGAAGTTTCGGATCGACATGGTTGACTTTGGCAGCGGACTCGGCTTCTTGCAGGCAGGATACTTTGATTTTGCTTGGAGAAATCATATTGACCTTGGGATCGATAATCGATATATAGCTTTCTGGTTCTGCTAGTATTGGACCGGCCTGTGGTGCGCTGACTTTCAATGCGGTATATCTGAAGATTTGGACTCTTTTCTGGGTTCCCTGAAACGACCGACGACAAATAGGGCTGAAAACATGGTTCCACTGCGGACCGACCATTTACTAGGGAAGTTGATATACCCAGATGAGTTAGCAATGCGATCAGGTGTCAACCTTACTCAAAAGACTTAGCCCACACCCACCATAAAGTTCCACTATCCAGTGATGGGACGCCTGAGCTATGCTGATATCAGAGAGACGAAGTCTGTTTGGTGTGTCCTGGTGCGTCACCACGCAGACTTAAAACTTGGACTCTATACGCAGATCGTGCAGATATTTGCTAGACCAAGTAATTCCCCCTTTCTTCAGCCTCAATGGTGTCCAAACTACGGCTTTGATAATCCTGGGAACGGCGATACCACCACCACTTGATACTTTCATATCAAAATCTCATTGGGGGGGAGAAGCAGCTGACTGATCGACATAGTGAAGGTCGATCAAGACTTGCAGAAAATGTGTTTCGACAATTGGCAATTCAAGGCGTCCCACCCAACCCTGCGGATAGCGTTTTTGGCGAGCGTGAGCTTTGACATAGACAGGGGTCAAAACGAGGTCAAACTATTTTCGGCGAAGCATTCACCGATTAACGTTAAATGACTTCACATTGCACGTACCTGAAAAGAAGCGAAGCCTACTTTGATGAAGAGGGACGCATTCCGAAACATTCCTCTCTGACCAGCACTCAGTTACATCATGGTAGGAGGTAGAAGAAAAGGTTGTTTGGCATGTCGTAACAGAAAGATCAAGGTAATCAACAAGTGATTCTAGCCTGCGGGTAGAAATACTAAACGGGTTCTTCAGTGCGATGAGCGGCGACCATCATGTACTCGTTGCGAGCTCTCTGACTGTAGATGCGCCGGATGGTCTGCGGAAATTGAATTTGTCTATGGGCATGGCCTTCCTCATACACAGCAACTGCCATCTGCTCCACTCAGTTTAAGGAACCCGTCGCGTGCTTCACAAAGAGGAAACGACGCTCGAAGCGACGTATTCAAGGAGAAACTCCCGACTGCAAGCCCGAACGTGCAACAGCAAAGAGTCGTGCGCAGCCATGCAGCCACACAGCCACACATATCATCCTCCTCTGGCATCGCTTCCCCCCCGCTCCAGCCCAACAATTAGCGGCAAGATTGGTACATGCACTAGAAGGAGGTACTGGAATAGGACTACCATTGTTATACTTCGGAGAATACTTTCGAGAGCTTCTAGCTTACCTGGGTCGAAGCCCATGTGTTGATGCTGCTGTCGACGCCTTCCTTTTTTCACAACTCAGATTTAGCATCAATTCTCCATTAGATCTTGGGTTGGAGTTACAGAAGTATGGTCGTGCACTGGAACTTCTTCAAAAACAGCTACAGAACAAGGAGGTGGACACCGGTCCAGAGACATTGTGCTAAGCACTTGTTTTAAGTACTTCAGAGGCGAGTCATTCGAAATGACACCATCTCCCTTTTACTAATATGTCCTGTCAGGCTGTCAACAGAGACTTCCAAACTTCTAGGTACCTTGTACACACCAATGGTGCAAGCGCGGTTCTTCGAGACTATGGGCCACATCGCATCAATACCGTATTCGAGCTGCAGCTTTTCTATGCTCATGTATCAGTGATTGTGCGTGGACAATCTTCTTATTTCAGGAAAGATGTTCACAGATCCCTTCAGGTCTTCAAGGCATTGCTGTCAGACACTGAATGTTTCATCGATAACCGTGAATGGCAATCTCTCCAGTCGAAAGTACCCCTATCGTGGTCGATCGATCTGCTCGAGGCTGGTATTTTACATACCTACGCTAAAATGCCGCGACTCTTTTCAGAGAGTACGTAATATCAGGGACATGTGTGCAGGTATAATTCCAGATGAGGTTATGGTTGAATTGAAGACAATTGAAAAGAACTGTCCCAGCTTAACGAAAAAGTTGAGACGTTCCTAATGGGATCAGACTTAGTCGAGTATGATACCGAACCTGATGACCCGTATCAGGGACCTACGCAACGCAGTAGGTACAAAGGAAGAGTAGCTGAATGCCTTGTTCTATTCACGTAGTCCTATTGACAACGACTCAACGCTTAAGAAAAAGGAAGAGTTCTCTCTCAGCCGATTCGGGTGAGAGGAGACTCTTATAGCTTCCCCTCTTTCTGTCACGTGAAAAGGGTAAGGCAGCGTTAACCGATAGCCTTGTGCGTCAACCGTCCTTTGCCTTATCCTTTTCTTTCTATACCGTCCACCCGATTCGGGTGGAGGGCGTAGAGTACTTGGGGACAACGGTGGGCTCGTGACAACCCGGGACTACCAACCAACTACTTCTTGAAAGATATCCGACTGGGTGAAGCATTATGTATCTTCTGGAGAACTGTCATACTGGCGAAGCGAGGGCTGTTCCAGCTCAGATTGACAGAACAAGGCGATTGGTGTATGGCAAGAGTGGCAGCTGCACGGCTCTGCAGGACAGCTGAGAATGCGCGAAAGCTTGCGCCATTTGTCTGTCTTTTCGCCTCTCTAAATCTTAGGGTGGCTCGATTTGCTTGTTCGGACGAACTCGCACTGCGGATTGGCCAAGAGCTGCTCCAGATCGACGCACAATTAGACGATTCCTCCGTCAAAATGGTGGGCTTCTTTGACTTGGCTACGGATATTGAGTCTCCCCCTCGGTAGGTCATTCCTTCCGACGATCTCGTTGACCTAGCACCACTTGTTATCTCTTGATAAGTGTTTCCGAGAGCAGTATTAGGACCATAATGTTAGTCTACTACTTCGGGAGCAGACAAAAAAATTGACTGCCTCTGAATTGAGACTTCAGATATACTGTGGCTGTACGACTGCATTTCCCCTGAATAGTAGTGAAAGCGATCATTTGATTTTCGCTCTGGTTGCGTGACACTATGGAGAGCATGACGGATTTTAACAGGACCATGTGGACCTCTCTGACTATTATACCTCTTCGGCGAGACGGTCTTTACATGTCTTGGTGACCCTGCCTGTCACAAGTTGGATATTCGTCGAACAGAGCTTTGTCGATGAAATTGCATGGGGGAATGAGCGCCAACCCGTAACATTGTCCGAGCTTTGACTTGAATGCTACAAAACCATTACCTTTGACTGCTGCCTAGTCGAACATAGTCATTGTATCCTACTCGGTACTGGGTACTGAGTCCTGAGCACTGAAGACGCCAAACAACGCCAAACGATTGAAGCCAAGAGCCAGGCACAAAACAAAGATAACCACATTCACCACGAAGTTCGGCGTCGGCAAAGTCCTATTGACCAAATCGGCGTCAACCACCGCAGAGGCCTGACCACCCAATCCGAAACTAGTATGTCCATCACTACTCCTTGCGACCAGTACTGCACTCGGGACCTGGGTTCGCAGGCTCTGCGCCCAGACGTACGAACTCTTTGGATCATGGTTCGAATTGACCATCAAAATCGGCGGGGCCAACTTCATTGCCGTCTGGTTCACGACTGGAGCGGGCCAGCCGATACATTGTGTCTGATATTGATACATCTGGGAAGCACCCTTGGTATGAGGTGCAATGGCACTTTCGAGTTGTTGCTTGTATTTGTTCTGTGCGAATGTCGCGGTGTTGTGGTTCCAGTCCAGACAAGCCACGGCCAAACCTGGCCAAACCGTCGAATTCTTCTCTCTATTGGCCATCGCGGAGGATAGTGGTGTGGCATGGCCATTGAAGGTGTCGTTCAGGGCAATACCGAGTTTCAACCATCCACAGGGCGAAAATGAGGTGCCGTTCTTGAATGTCAAGTAGGAATTACCTTGGACGTTGAAACGGATATCTTCCCCGGTCACGTTGGCGAAGCACGTGCCTGCCGAAGAGATGTCTGCTGTGGTAAGGCAGCCGGGCGCGGATATCGGTGTCTTGTCTCCTTTTGCAACGAGGTCGTCGAATAACTGCGCCACGTTCTGACCATCAAGCGCGCAGGTCGATTTTTACTACCCAGTCGAAGAAGCGACCAAGGGCTGTTCTCGTATGTAGAAGATTCGGCTGCATGAAGATACACGTCTGAAGGTGAATGGCCCACATCGCCATCGAGCACCATGGCCCGAATATTGTTGGGGTACAGCTCCGCATATTGCGCACCGATCTGAGTGCCATAAGATCCGCCGAGCCAGTTGAGGTTGCCATCATTCAAAGCAACGCGGATCGCTTCCATGTTCTTTGCAACACTGGTTGTATCAACGTGCTTGAAAAAATCGCCGCTGAGGTCCAGACAACTCTGACCAAAGGCGTTGTTGTGCTTAACCATCTCTTTGAACTCGGCCTCGTTCAGAGGAAACAATGATTGTTTTTTGTTCCATAAGTCGGGGTCACACAAGACAGGGCTGCTGGTGCCGACACCACGAGGATCAGGACAGATGATGTCAAAGTGTTCCCTGATGGTCTTGCTGAATATGGGGATCCCTGCAGCCTCATCTTCGCAGAACTCTGTCACTATTCCACCTGGTCCGCCAGGATTGAAAATTAGACTGCCCACTCTACTTGCGCTGCTTCCAGTGGCTTGACCCTGCTGATGCCCAAGGCGTTTTTTCCTCCTGCGGTTGGGACCAATCAAGGGGCACCTGAATCTGAGAACAGTCCAGGTTTAGCAGCTCGTTCGTGGTGCAGATGACCCATGGAATCTTGATGGAAGCGGTGCTAGCGGATGCTCGCTTAGTATAGCGAACTGACGCTGCATTGATAAGCGTAATGAGAAATGTGGTGAGGGCGAGTATCTGCGTGCTTGAGGCAACGACAGTGGTGGGAGCTTATCTGAACAAACGAGAAAGAAAGAAGCCGAGCGACAAAGGACGATGAGAGAATTGGAGGAAAGGACGGCTGAGCTACTGGTATTAGAATAAAAGCTCTGCAACTTGGATTTTTGAGGTTGGTCAGACCGAGCATAACAGCGCTCCTAAATATTCTCCTCGGGAAGCAAAGTATGACGAAGGCTTTCCGGAGCTAACCAGAGACTTCAATGGGCCAGATCGACATCCAAAGCTGATATTTGAAAACCTGACTTATGCAAGAGTGCTCCAAGTGCAATGCAGCACAGCCAGTGGACAGACCGAAATTGCTTTCTCCAGGACTTTGAGCGAGCGTCAGATCGTTGCAGCCTTCCCATACATCGACCCCAGCTGTTCAATGCGACCTAGTCAAAGCACAGAACTCTAGTCTACATGAGGCTGAGCCGCTAAGGGGCCTGAAAATGTTGGAGCTCCACATCATTACCGCTTTGGGGAGAATATGCAATCACGCTTAATTATGCTTGTCAAGTGTCGATCGTCTAAGGACCCCGCGCGACGATCATCCAGCAGTGCTCGGGGCCCGCATATCCAGTGAGACTATCCATGCCATGTTCTTAGGGGTTGACGCCTTCTAATTTTTGGGAGAGTAGCAATTTCGTCAGCACTCGGGCGTATACGACCTGAAGGAGCAGCTATGCAAAGGTGCTAATCCCTCAGGCTACGGCGTAGCGACGCGACCCCCGATGTATCATGGGCTCCACCACAGCTGACTATGCGCCGTTTCAGGAAGATGTCTTCACGGTGTCGCATTCTTCCTCAAATAAACACCTAGCCAAGGTAACTGATATCAGGCGCACTTTCTCCCGCTGAGAAGCGATCTCCTTCCTTTTCCTTTTTCTTCATCGCTAAGGTCACATCACTTCGGTCTCGGAATATTAGTAAATCCCCTATTCACGATCGAACCCCACAGCCAAACCGTCCGTATCTCCCGGATATCCCCTAAACTCCACCCTTAATAATAAAGGAAAGACGTGTTGCTTCCTCACAGCCCTCCTGTGAAACGCGCACAAATGTCACCAGCAACAAGACCAAAACACCCAGCAACCGCCGCATCCAGTCCCACTAGACAGCTCATCCATGGGCCAAGTGCCAATGCAAATGCTGGTGCATCCTCCACTGACAGAAAAACGCTGGGGTAGAGGGGGAAGAAGATACCGGCGCGACTCAGAGGCGTACAGGCTGGAAGAAGCGGAGCGTATATTTCGAAATCGTGTTGCTATGACGGCGGCTATTGCTGGTGGGTAAGTTCTGGTGCTCATGGATGAATGCGTGGGAGGCCTGAGGGGATGGGACCAAGTCGGAGTAGGGCTTGTTGATTTGCATGGAATGTCAGATTGGTAGACCTTTGCTCGCCAACAAGACATGGACTATGATGACGATATTCATATCACATCGACGAGAACAGAAACGGTGTCGACCGATGCAAGACCAGTCAATGAGTTGATGGGGCTTGTGAGTCCAAAGGCGCAACATCAATCAAGGCTCGCTGGTGGCTCAACTTCGGCTTAGCCTCGTCGTTGCCGAGCCAACCGAGCCTGCTCTTGCCTCTCCACGATATTCGACATTCCACGTCACCCATCACGTCGTGGGAGATTCAAGGCATTTGTAGATTAGAGTCTCTATACCTCCAAAAAATATGAATCAATGAATGGAAATTAAGACGAGTTTTCGCTCCTCACATTGATCAACTAAGCGCGCGCCGCCCGCTGATTTTTAGTTAATATACACCGATACCAGCCCAGGACAGGAGAAGCCAGCAGTCCCGATTGACTCCTTCGAGCTAGAGAAAAGGAAGAAATGTATTCCAAGCCAGGAGGTCGATTCAACGTTCGCGCCAACCCTAGAAATCTCCGTACCCACAATTCGAATGTTTCAACTGGGCCATGACCAACAAGAACTACTTCTCACATTTTCAGGGAGAATAAATAGTTTAGGAGAGACCAAGGAGAGACCTTCCAAGACCTTCTCAACTAAGCGGAGCTCAAATAAGCTATCCAGTACCGAGTATAAGCGAAGCGATTCGATGGCTAGGTCGCCTTTTGTACCACCTCAAAAAGCGCAAATCGCTTTAAAATGCCCATATCACACCGAAACCTTTATATCATTTGATGCACTAATGTTAATTTAAAACCCTCGATGAGGCGAATTGAATGATTTATTTGCAACGTTATCCGGCCGCTAAGGAAAACGCCAGAAAGGAGAGAACCTGAAAGCACCACGATTTCGCTGGGACTCGACGCCTGGTAATAACCCTTTGGATACATTTCAGCTCCACAGGGAGTACAAGGTTAAGATAGTCAAGATAGTGTAATCTCTGTATGAATTGCTAGAGTCTCTTGTCGGAGCAAATAAGGATAGATACTTAGTATAGATAGATAGATCGATTCTAATCGTCTAATAATCGAGGCCTTGTAGTTCTTGAATTCAATGATACAAGCCAGGGCTTAGCGGAGACCATCTTCTAGACCGACTTTTTTTTTTTTTTTTTTAGATAGACAGCAACGCTGCTAGACAAGACATAAAGCCTAGCTAGTCTAACAACCAGGCTCATCTGCTCTCAGAGTTGTTGTACAATACCGGGTCGATACCTTCCAAGTATGGGAGATTGTGTGAATTGACAGGTATGAGAAGTTGCGTGCATATTAAGGCAATATTGCCCGTCATGTCTACCGTTGCACAAACTCGTAAGCTTTCCATAAGGCCGAAATGAATTACTTTCGCCACTTCTCAGCCTACCGAGGAGCTCGAAGTATCGCCCTAGAAGTGAATGGATTTTTTCCATCGAGGAGCCTCCATCGATATTGAAATAGAACTGGGCAGCCAGCACCACTCCCATCTAACTGAATAGCAGTGGTGTCTTCGCCGATGTCGCGCTTGTCGAGGACCCGCCCAAGGTCATCTAAAAGCGGAGGTTTAACACTACTACACTCAGGTACTGGAAAGAGGACCAGGTCGCTGTAAATGAGTGCAGACAGTTGGCAGAGTTCGAACTGGATGTCGGAGAACTCGCCATGGTCCAGGGCAATTGGATCGATGGAGCACATTCTGTGTTGGACAGCAACTCTCAATCTCGCAACATCCCAGATCACTGGTGCTGTTGATCCTCCACGATGACAATGGTCAAGTGCGACGGTGGCTTCGCATAAGGAGAAGCGCCTGGTGCATTCCTTCGTGCCGAACGTCGCTGAAACCGGAACCCATGGTCTGCATCAAATCGACAGTGATTTGATCGAGGATGTGCTCCCCTGTACGCTGTACAGACTCGGGGATGGCGGCTGGCCATTTCTAGCAGGGTCGCACGCCGAGCCGGGTAGGGGCAATGGTATCGAGACTTTGACAGTGATTCGGAGACTTGCAAAGAGAAGTTGACCTGCTATTCTTTGGGAATGCTCATTAACTCACTATGTCAGGATAATGTGCTGGAAAGGCATGGTCAGCTCGTCAATACCACCCCTCAGCTGCACCAGCGACCGAACAGCCTGGACGCGCTCAGGTACGATTTCAAGATGGCCCATGGCGTGGAGATTCTGAGCAGTTGCCAAAGGCGATCTCGGGTTCCGAGTTGGTGTCTAGCTATAGTCAGACCCTGAAACATAAGCCAACAGTGCAGCTACGTACATCAGCGTGTCTGGTGGGGCGGTTCTAACCGTTGTACTTCTTGATTGAGCGAATCTATCGCCCTTCTCTCATGAACTTTGTTGAGAATTTCTATCCGTTTCCGATCATCTTCCGTCAGAGAGGCCATAGGGCATCGTTTGGAACTTGGTGGCGGCCGCAATCTGGGCCTCGAGCAGATATGCATATTGTCGGCCTAGCCTGCGCTGGTTCGCTCGGTGAGTGGGTAAAGCGCTGACAGGAGCGGCCGGGACGAATGATGGAAATGCATAGCCATATGCTGCGCAAACTCATCTTTAGTTTCCCCTCGAGCCGCAGTATCTGCTTGCCACCTACCGAAGTCAAGTATCGAGTAGATGAAATTATCTAACTCTTGCGCGGGAGCACTATCAAAAGGGTCGAGCTGGCCATGAAGGACGTAGACAGTTTGGGTGCAGACCGACTGCTTGTTCCGTGCTTAACACCAGCGGTGAGACGACGTCAGGAAACTGGAGCGGCGTGCGCGTGTGCTTCCGCAGCCTGTACTTGCTGATCTCGTTGTGACGCTGCGCTCTTGTTGTCGGAGGGATTGGTAAAAGGGCACTCGGGAGGCAAATTGCCCGCAGCCATGTGGCAGAGGCGCGGGCGAGGCGCAGGACGCTCTCATCCTGTGCGAGGGCGTGTGAGCCAATACAAACGACTCGTTCACTTGGAGGAAGAAGGCAAGGGGCTTCTTGTGCTTGATTAAAGCCAATTGGAACATACAGACCATACGAAGCAGCAGTTGGATGAGTGAGATATCCAAGCGGAAGAGGAATCACTGGATGGTCCGATTACTGTTGAGATGGAGGGTTGACGCTTCTGGAGG